GCCAGAATTAGCCCCTCTGTCTCTTTCTTCAACTTTCCTGCTCTTAGCCATTGCCAGGTCTGGTTGTTATCTGCATTGCCTGCTACTTTTTTTATGTACTGGCAATATTATTATTATTATTGTACTAGACAACCCATGACCCATTGGGTGATCATTTCAGAGATATTTCTTTGCCTAGACAGAGAAACAGAATGACCAAGGGCAAAAAAGCAGTGGGAGTGTGAGCGACTTGTTACTTGCTGCCAGCTTCTCCATTGACTTTGCTTGTTTGAAGCTGGCAGGGAGGTTCAGAAATTTCCTTCCTTCCTTCCTTCTTTCCTTCCTATGTATATTATAGGCTTGCACCATTTGCCCTCCCCTCACATCCCTAAGGAGAGCCTCCATGAAACCTTCTCCTCAGCTGACCAGCGGAACTGCCTGCCACTTTGTTGGGGGAGGTGGAACAAAGAGAGCCACGGACCATGAGGAAAACTACACCCCCATTCCCCATTCTGGTGTGTCCCCAAGGCCCCACTCCCTAGAGGGACAAAGAGGGCTTACCCGTTAACCACTGGCACCTCCCAGCCAGCCCTACCTCACCAGCAGGCATCCAAGTCACTCCCTCATCCTTCTGTCAATGCCTACAGCTATTTAAGAGATTCAGATTTCTGCCTTGTTTCCAAAGCAGCCAACTGCCACTTGCCCATCAGGCCTTGCCACTAGCTGATTGGGCACAGAGGACAGAGGGGGGCGGGAAAGAGGTCAGGGATACGCAGCCACAAATGTCCCAAATTTCAATCCCACAGGAGTAATGGGTCCTGGATTCTGGATGCATTCTGTAAGTTAGCCCATTTATGGTACCTTGGTTCAAAAATTGTTGCCCTATGATGCACCATTTCGCCCAGTTGAAGGTTACAGACATGAGACTTTTAGTAGTATATATATTTTATCCTGCTTTTTTTATGTATAACTCAAGGTGGCAAACATACCCAACATTCCTGCCTCCTATTTTTCTCCACAACAACTCTGTTTCTTGGAACAAAAGGGAGTGGAACAACAATTTTTTAAAGATATCCCACTATAGAGTTTTTAAGAGCCAGTTGGTGGAGTAGTAAAATATTGAACTAACCCTGCAGGAACTCAGATTCTAGTTCACTCTCAGCCACAGAAACTGAGTTGGGGCCACTCATTGTCTCTTAGCCAAACCTTTATTAACTCAGTTGTGATGGGGAAAAATAGGAGGAAGGAACACTATGGATGCCACCTGGAGTTTCTGTGTGAGAGGCGGAAACCAAATCTAATAAACAAATAAGGTAGACAATGTGTAAATCCTTCTTGTGTCTGCTAAGAAAGCTTGAAAAGATTAGGCGGATTACTCTGTTCAATACCCAGTCCCACTAACGGACATGTAAGAATTCCATGTAAGGGAATACTTGTGACTCTGGAACCTTGTGTCCTGTGTAAGTTATGCAACTCTGCTTTTGATCTGAAATCCACAGAGTATTAATAAAATATTATTTTATATAACCTAAGACACAGGGCAACCTTCTATTGAACTAGGAGCAGAACAGGTGTTTTCACTTGTCTTCCTTTCTTCCATAAAGTCTTGCCTGCCATTGTGTGTATACGTGTGTGTGTGGTCGGTGAACGTGTATGCATGGAAATCAGCTGCCTTGGAAGCTTTCTCAAACTGATCCCCAAGTTATTTGCATTGGTTTCCAAATATTATGTGCAGTGTTTTAAAAATGCATTTAGTTATCTAGTTGGACAGCAAAGTGAAAGATATATACCCAATGCAGACGGTATCCAGAATTAGCTTTCATAGGGTAGGCATATTGAAATCAGTAGGACTTCAGTATAACTAATTCTGCTTTTAACCAAAGTCTCATTTGCTGTTACAGATCTCCCAGTAACTTCCACACATTCTGAATATGCATTGTAGCTTGCTTAAAAATATGTATATAGAAATGCATTTACTGCTATTACACTTTTTAAATTACAGGTTTTAATGTTTATATTGATTGCATTCATGTATAATGTTAAGTCACAATATTTTAAGCATGTTCTGTTGAACTATCTAGGTTCACAAAAATGCTAGGCCAAAAACAAAACAAAGCAAACATAATGTAATGTTGTGTCTGATCTATGCTAGTCTTTTTTATAAAACAAATGTTATAGACTTTTCACTTTTTCACAGCAATGAATTGCCTTGCGGAAGTTAATTTATTGGTATATAATTACTGTAAGCAGTTAGAAACTGGAATGCCATTCATTGCCCTTGATAATAATTCTGACTGACATATTTCTCCACACTGGACAATAAATCTTAATCTGTTAGTATTTTATCTATGGCATGGGGGGGGGGGGGGGTATTTTCTTTCCAAATACCTTTTTCATAATCTGTCCAACTGTTTTGATCAGTACTTGAGTTTTTGCAAAATGTTGTGCTTTCAAAAGTATTATAGGAAGTCCGTCCAGCATGTTTCCTTGCTGGCTGCTGCATTTTCCCTCTCTTCTAATTGCTGTCTTAAAAACTGTTAGGATGTTAAACCACATTGAGGATTAGCTTTTGATTTCTTTGGTTTTATTTTGCTGATGCAGATAAGAAGACAAGGAGGGATACAATTACTGGTGGATCTATTGGACCATCGAATGACAGAAGTCCACCGTAGTGCCTGTGGGGCTCTGAGGAACTTGGTATATGGGAAAGCTAATGATGACAACAAAATTGCTTTGAAAAATTGTGGGGGTATTCCAGCACTAGTACGATTACTCCGAAAGACTACAGATTTGGAAATCAGAGAACTGGTCACAGGTTTGAATATCTTTCCTTTATTTCATGTTAACTTGTAAGGAATTAACTCATTATCCAATACACTTTAAAACATTGCTTGATGAGAACAAGACATGGGCTCAATACTGTACTTGTATAGTTGAAAACATTAAAACAAATCTTGGTTTTGCAAACATGTAGAATACACATACACACACAAGCACATATCCATATTCCTTATTAGGTAATATGCAGAAAGACAACTTTCAGTGAATGGTGGTATACAATTGTGATTGCTGGTATGGTTAAGCTCTGGTGTAACTGCTTCTAATTATGTGACTAAGCTATCTAATGGAAGGAAGGAGAACGAAATTTCCCACCGTGTATAATGTGACTGATGGTTCTTTAAAATACTTTTAAAAGTATTCTGGTATTCTGTAAAACCTAATATTATTTTAATGTCTTTGGACCATCCCCTTTTAAGGTCTTCTTCTACCTTCTCCTGCAAATAATAATAATAATAACAATAATAATAATGTGTTGCATATATTGTCCTGACTGCGGCTATACAGGCTCTGATTATGGATTCCAAATGTCTTTATCATTCCATCTTTCAACTCTTACCTGTCATAGGCAAAATTCATCAGATTCTCCTTGTTGTGATGATGCTGTAATGCATGATGCATCCCACTGAGTGACAGAATTACTGGCAGGCCGAGTAAGGCAAAAAATCTTAGGTGGTTTCAACCTTCTGTTTCGTTCCTTGGTTCCACTACCTGTCCTTTGTCTCCAGGAAGCAGTCTGTAAGCTGACTCGTAACAATGAGGCACAAACTGTTAATCGTCTTAATAAATTACAGTTGTATATTTAATGAAATTGCTGCAGCATCTGCTTTTTGCAAAAGTCAGGCAGCTGTATGATACAGGCAGCTATTAGATAAGATCCCTTAATTTTTTGTTTGTTTATCTCCTTTCTCTCTGTGTACATTGTGTTCTCAAAACATACCAAACTAATATGGAAAACATACCAGTTAACGGTGTTTGCAATTGATTGTTTTTAAACTGCATGATGTTTTCATTGACTTTCATTCATTGAACAAAGTTGAATATGCGGTAGTAACTGAAATACTACCTGTTAATACTAACTATTAGTATACTACCTGTTAATGCACAAAAGAGAAACACCCACATTGTCTTGACGTATCTATCTCAGTCACTTTGAATGTGTATATCGTATATCTTTGGTCTTGCTATGGCCCTGCTGGACATGTCCTTTGCTGAGAATGATGGGGAGGTAATAGAGTCGCGGGCATCTAGGAACAATATTCTTGGTGTAGGTGATGGAACCGATAACTCCACTCTGGTTGAGGCAGTGACAGCTGGCCCCCAGGACACCTTACCTGCACCCACTGACAGCCTCTCAGACTCTGAAGTCCAGCCACACACTCCTGAGCAGAGGTGTGTGATAAGATTCAGTGACAGAGAGAGAGCAGAACTCCATAGATCTGAGGGACTTGCCAAGAAACAAGCCTATAGATAAGGCAATACCGAGGAGTAAAGGTGGAGGCTCAGTGTGGCTTAATCTCTCAGAACAACTTTTCAAGTCCAAGCCTTCTGTGTTTACCCTGCCGTGCCATGCTTTGAACACTGTATTCTACCTCAACATGTCTCTTGCCCCTTGAAT